AAACATAATGAAACCTTAGTTTTATCGTCAAAATCGTTTTGTTATTAGTAACAGGAAGGATCAAAGTATTTTTTGAATATTTAAATACATTTTTTACTCCTTTTTAGAAAATTCTAAATTTTGATTAAAAAACTTGTTTTTCTTGAGTCAGTGGTTAGCATAACAAATTTTCACCTCTTTTTGCATAAAGACATAAATTTGGAAATTTTTGAAAAAATCAAATTATTCTTGAATTTTAATGAAATCTTCAGGACTTATTCACAAACGAATAAAATTATTTTTGAAATTTTTTTATTAGAAAATCGTGGTAAAAATATTTTTCTTTTATTTTACATGTTTTTCACCCCCTTACTTACTTTTATGAAAGCTTGAGAAATTACTCGAGATGATTTTAAGTTAAAAGCTGAATTTTTAAAAAATGTAAATCACTGATTTTTTTTCTTTGGCAAAATTGGACCCGGTCTTACCGAAAATCTGTTCTGAATTGAAAAATAAAAACGCAATAAAACAAAGACATTATTTAATTAGAGAAGATTTTAATTGCTTTTATGAAAAAGATATATTAAAGAGAATATTCTCTGAAGAAAAAAAACATCTTTTCGATGAAAAATGAATTTTTACAAGATTTCTTTACAATTTTTTAGAATTTAAAATTGAATTTTTTATGAAATTTTTTAATCTTTTAAAGTTCAATTTCAATTAGATAATTCTTAGGGAATATTGTTATTAAGTAAAACTATATTTACTAATCATATATTTTAAAGCTTATTACAAACTGAATACTTCAACTATTTTTAAAAGAATTTCGATTTGTTTTTAAAGATGCAATTTTTCTAAATTATGGATGTACAAACTGATAAAGATAATCTTAAAAAGGTCACGTATTTAAAGGGTTGTCCCTCACACACACACACACACACACACACACACACACACGCACAGAGAAGAAGGGCGCGCGCGCGGAAAAAAACAATTGAATGAAATTTGTCGCCAGCTACACCGTACTTAACTGTGAACACGTTCGGCTGTTAATCCGCCGTCAATAAATCAGAGAGACGTGTTAATACACGTCAGAAAAACAAGACCCTGTGCTTAGGAAATTATTGTATACAACATTTTATGCTATAAGTAAGTAATACTTATTTCAAATCCGATTAACTTAACTCTAGATTTGCTAATTTTCCTCAAATAATATTTCATATATATATATATATTTTATTTTTGCAAAATTTTTAAAACAAAAAATTAAGTTTTGTTTACACATGTCTAAAAGATGGCTGGCGTTATCGATTTTACTGAAAAAAAATGGAAGTTTATTCCCTTCAATATAATTTCTGTCTGAAATACACCAAAGTATTTTGGTTACAGGGTATAGTAAATTTAATCTTTTAACTTTCATTTATAGCTAAATTGAAAGCTTCAGAAGAACTTTTTTATTTTTTTTATTTTTAAAAATTCATTTTAAAACTTTCGTATACACAATTTGTGGAGGTGCCTACATAAGAAAAGGAATATACAAATAACAAACACACACGCACACATACACACACATATATATATATATATATATATATATATATATATATATATATATATATATATATATATGTAGAGAGAGAGAGAGAGACTTGTGGGAGCGAGAGAAAGTGACGGAAAAGAAAGTAATTCATCCTTTTTTATCATGGCACATGACATCAGAGACGAGTGTAGGCAGTATAATAATGGAAGTTCCAATGACGACCAATAACCCATGGTATTTTTAGGTGTGTGTGTGTGTGTGTGTGTGTGTGTGTGTGTGTGTGTGTGTGTGTGTGTTTTTGCTTTTTGTCCCTGTAACAAATACCAGGTGAAAGAAAGTCTAGTAAAATGACTTCTGACGTACGAGACAGAGGCGCATCACTTAATTCCTCCATGCGGAAAAGTATTGCATCAATGACATTTTTATTGTTGATTGCTGGGAATTTACGAAGCGCTGATAGTCGAGACGAGCACAGTTAAGCGATAAGGTGATGTGCTTCAACAGCGGCGTGTGTGACGAAACCACGCCCCGGCGGCTCGGCGGCTCGGCAGTTTGGTGCAGCTAATCTACCCACAACATGCAAGCCTTTGTTAATCACTGGTGAAAATACATAGCCAATGTCTGTAATTATGATGAAAAATAGTTGGGTTTATTTTTGTTTCTTTATTTGTTTGTTTTTTAGGCCCTGTCATTGCTTCAGAAAAATAATGCACCATTCCGTTTTGATTACGAGGAAAAACAAAGGTATATCAAAGACCGCAATTTGGTCTTAGTAAGAAGAAAGAAAATTGCTATTGGGCACTTAACGTCTGCTTCAGTGAAATGGAAAAAAGGCAGGAAATAGAAAGAAAGAAAAATTGTTTGTAACGAAAAATGGACATATATTATTTTCCTCTTTTATAATTCTGCGTATCTAACGTAACTTCTTCAATACCATTCAAATTCCATTGATGATTATCCTTCATTAATGAAATATGCTTTAGGTGGTAGTTAAAATGCAAAGAGAGAATTAACGACAACTGTGGATATAAAATAATAGAAACAATTGTTTACGAAATTTTGTTAAAGTTGTTAAGCTCAAATATTTAAAGATACAATACTAGAATTTCCAAAGGGATTTTATACTCGTGACAACCACAAGAGACATATTCAGACAATGAATTAAGAATTATGGCTTATCAGGAAATTCGAAACATGAAAACAGAAAGGAAATTTCACGGGTACTGAGAGTTAATTATTAAATATAATACACAGAATTTTCCCACTTCACCATTTTCATCATTGGTGAAAATGCATAAACACTGTAACGGTAATATTAACTATTTTCTAATAAGAAATCATTTGACATTCATTGACCGAGCAGCCAGTATTACTATAGGTTGAAATTTATTAAATCATTCTCTTGAAACAGTGTTTCAGGAAAGTGGATTTCCTCAAGTCCTGCAACTGTCATTAATGGAGGATAATTATCACTGAAATTTTCATAATACCGAAGAATTAGAATGCGTAGGATTAAAAAAGGCGAAAATAATATATGTCCATTTTAGCGTTAGCAGAGATAGGTTTTAATTTTATCCTAGTATTTATTTAGTAACAATATAATTTCCATTTAAATATACGGGTATCATTGACAAGAGACGCCGTGTTTTTTGAGCAGAATTCAAGTATATATAAGCGAGATGTAGTTTAAACTTTTTTTTAGATTATCCGTTATGAGTCTGATAAGTTGATAACGCTCAAGTAGCAAGTTTTGTTTTTTTTTTTACTTTTTATCGTAACAGATAACATTAATGTTCCTAATAATTAGAGATGAGCGAAGGTACTCGAAACAAACAAAAACATGATAAACTGGATATTTTCATCGTAAATTTTATCTAGGCACGAAACTACTTAAAAACTGACAGATAAATTATAAAACAGAAAGCTGATAGACATTTTCTAAATAAAGCATGTTTGGATATATAAATATGTATGTGCATGTGCTTATATATATATATATATATATATATATATATATATATATATATATATATATATATATATATATATAAAATTAGAAAAAATTTTATTTTATAAAAAGATTCGTACAGCGAGGAAAGAGACAGAGATCGGGGTTTCCCCAGCAAATGCACCGACTACAAAAAACATCTCTCGGTAAGTAATTCCCACTTCTCTGTTTATTTCTCGGTGCGTTTATAAAGGACGCAGCCGTGTCCAGAAATTTCGGACTTAAAACCTTGCCTTCCGTGCTTCATTTCTTCATAAATGTTTTTCGTACTGATTATATTGTCACCTTTCGCTTGTCCTTGTTTTCTTAACTAACCTATTATATATACATATATATATATAAATATATATATATATATATATATATATATATATATATATTTACACACACACATATATATACATATATATATATATATATATATATATATATATATATATATATATATATATTTCAAGGACGTTTAGATAGTCAAGGTAGGCAATGCCTCCCTTGAATAAAATAGATCAGCAGCTACATTTTTCTTCTGTGGCACAATATGCACTTAATGCAACAATATTATGAAGGTTGCTCTGATTATTATGCATAAAATACAATTTTTTTCTAGATTTTCTACATAAAGGTCACAAACTGCCTACACTGTGTATTTACCGACAGCGTGTGCCTTATATACACACACACACACATATATATATATATATATATATATGTGTGTGTGTGTGTGTGCTTATGTGTGTGTGTGTTTACGTGTGCGTGTGTATGTGTGTATGTGGTAGGATATGGAACAAATAGGATACATTTACAAAGTTAACATGTTTCGCTTTTATTTAAGCTTCATCCGAAGCTAATTCTGTCAAATTCTAGTATATATTTTATCATGCTTCACTCTCTTTCTTTCTCTCTCTCTCTCTCTCTCTCACACACACACACACACACACACACACACACACATATATATATATAATATAAAAGGCTCAAACACTAATATTCCATGGTTATAATTTAATATAGTGAACTCGTAATCATGATCCAATTCATCAGACCTACAAATTCAAAAAGCTTTTTGAATTCGTAGGTCTTCCAAAGTGTTTCATCCAGTCTAATAACATCGAGAAGTCTCCTTCCTGACAAATCGACTATGGTAAGATTTGAACCACTATATATATATATATATATATATGCATGTGTGTGTGTGTGTGTGTGTTGTAAAATTTCAGGTATAAATAAAATATATCGGTGAAAAGACAATAGAAATCAAAATGTGTTTAAAAGAATACTTGCTGCGTAAATATCCCTTTATATATTTATATATTCTATGGAACTACAAGCAAATTGATATCACAACTGTGCAACGAACAGCATTTTCTTATTGTTATCCCAATGTTAGCTTTTATATTTTATTTTAGATAAAATTATATTGCTTACATCATCAGTATTATTTTCATAAATTCAAACGAGAAAGAAATATGTGAGTTAGAGAGTCAGTTTCGTTCTTAAGAAGTCGGCGAAAGTCAACAAATCTGGAATACAGATGTAGCCACCAAGTGTCACCATGATGGCGATACTAACGCCGCCTATGAACTGAGAAGAAAGCCGGTCATCCTTGGCGCTTATCTTAGAAGCCAGATATCGGGATGTGTTCTTTTTATTCAGCTTTAACTCTTTCTCCAATTCCTTTAACCAAGATTCGGATAAAGTTTTCGGACAAGGGCAAAAACATTTGGGGACCGAAGTTGAAACTGAAAAAAATTAAATAAATTTGGTTTATTGTATCTCTGAACATCTGTCATACAGCAATGAAAGAAAGAAAGAAAGAAAGAAAGAAAGAAAGAAAGAAAGAAAGAAAGAAAGAAAGAGAAAAATCTTTCTATAAATATTTTAATAGCAATTGTTCTGATGAGCTTTTCTCCTTGGTACCGCGACTTTAAGAATTTGAGTGCAGAACTATATTGGCAGCTAGGTCCCATCATATTATCGCTGAAACTGCTAAATATAACCGTAAGTCCTATTCTAGTAGTTTATTCACTTACACTTCTCGCTTACGTAACTCTCTTCCAGATTCTTGATTTCTTGTCAACTGTAGTCTACAAAAATTTAAATGTAAAATCAATCGTCATCTTCCGTCTCCCTGAAACCTGTCCTTTCTGTTATGGTAATTTACCCACGAACGCATGGACTCTCCCAGCTATAAATAGGAGCAGGTACTGCCTTTTGGAGAGGAAAGTTTCCAGTAGTCAGCTCTGACAGTTGGACCGAACATGCGTGCTGTAACACTCGCGTTTGTATATGTTTGTATTACTGTTTCTGTTAATGTATTTAACTCAATTCCTCTCTTTGTGCCTTTATTTCTGACCATAACAAGGACACAACACTTTTTATTGTCTTTTCTCTTCGGTAACGTTTTCTCTGCTGTCATTCATCCTCAGTAACTCCTTGCATCTTAGTGGATTGATCACTATGCATTGAATGAAATGATTATATGATGGATGAATTGAAAATAAAACAAAGGCTTCCAACTTCTTGACGCGCATTCGTCATCCTGAGTTTATCGAATAATCTCAAAGAATTTAAGACTAATATAAATACGACTACTAGGAGGAAACAAAAAATACAGAGTGGAAATAAAATTAGAAAGATTTATACAGCTATTTTGTAAACTTGAATAGGTATTCCTGTTTAGTTTTATCGCCTAATCAGAAACGAGTTGTCCCAGTTAGAGATGCTCAGAAGGATAAAAGATGATAATTTAAAATCTCTGGAGGATTTCTCCCGGTTTATACTGCTTAATAGCAAACATAGAAGGCAAAAAGCTATTTGGGAAAAAACAAAAAAAAGAGATAAAAGTAAACTAATTAAAGAATGAACAATAATAAAAATAAATTAATCATAAAAATGCAGACAACTTTCGACTATTACGTCTTATTACTACTACTAGGTGTAAACAAGCAATAGAAATAAGATGAAAGAAAGACGAGTGAAAAATGAATAATAATGACAATGCTTCATCTAAGAAATTCAGACAACTTAAGACTATTACGTCTTATTACTACTACTAGGTGTAAACAAGCAATAGAAATATGATGAAAGAAAGACGAGTGAAAAATGAATAATAATAACAATGCTTCATCTAAGAAATTCAGACAACTTAAGACTATTACGTCTTATTACTACTACTAGGTGTAAACAAGCAATAGAAATAAGATGAAAGAAAGACGAGTGAAAAATGAATAATAATGACAATGCTTCATCAAAGAAATTCAGACAACTTAAGACTATTACGTCTTATTACTACTACTAGGTGTAAACAAGCAATAGAAATAAGATGAAAGAAAGACGAGTGAAAAATGAATAATAATGACAATGCTTCATCTAAGAAATTCAGACAACTTAAGACTATTACGTCTTATTACTACTACTAGGTGTAAACAAGCAATAGAAATATGATGAAAGAAAGACGAGTGAAAAATGAATAATAATAACAATGCTTCATCTAAGAAATTCAGACAACTTAAGACTATTACGTCTTATTACTACTACTAGGTGTAAACAAGCAATAGAAATAAGATGAAAGAAAGACGAGTGAAAAATGAATAATAATGACAATGCTTCATCTAAGAAATTCAGACAACTTAAGACTATTACGTCTTATTACTACTACTAGGTGTAAACAAGCAATAGAAATATGATGAAAGAAAGACGAGTGAAAAATGAATAATAATAACAATGCTTCATCTAAGAAATTCAGACAACTTAAGACTATTACGTCTTATTACTACTACTAGGTGTAAACAAGCAATAGAAATAAGATGAAAGAAAGACGAGTGAAAAATGAATAATAATGACAATGCTTCATCTAAGAAATTCAGACAACTTAAGACTATTACGTCTTATTACTACTACTAGGTGTAAACAAGCAATAGAAATATGATGAAAGAAAGACGAGTGAAAAATGAATAATAATGACAATGCTTCATCAAAGAAATTCAGACAACTTAAGACTATTACGTCTTATTACTACTACTAGGTATAAACAAGCAATAGAAATAAGATGAAAGAAAGACGAGTGAAAAATGAATAATAATGACAATGCTTCATCAAAGAAATTCAGACAACTTAAGATTATTACGTCTTATTACTACTACTAGGTGTAAACAAGCAATAGAAATAAGATGAAAGAAAGACGAGTGAAAAATGAATAATAATGACAATGCTTCATCAAAGAAATTCAGACAACTTAAGACTATTACGTCTTATTACTACTACAAGGTGTAAACAAGCAATAGAAATAAGATGAAAGAAAGACGAGTGAAAAATGAATAATAAGGACAATGCTTCATCAAAGAAATTCAGACAACTTAAGACTATTACGTCTTATTACTACTACTAGGTGTAAACAAGCAATAGAAATAAGATGAAAGAAAGACGAGTGAAAAATGAATAATAAGGACAATGCTTCATCGAAGAAATTCAGACAACTTAAGACTATTACGTCTTATTACTACTACTAGGTGTAAACAAGCAATAGAAATAAGATGAAAGAAAGACGAGTGAAAAATGAATAATAATGACAATGCTTCATCTAAGAAATTCAGACAACTTAAGACTATTACGTCTTATTACTACTACTTAGAAAAAATGTAAACAAGCAATAGAAATAAGATGAAAGAAAGACGAGTGAAAAAATGAATAATAATAACAATGCTTCATCTAAGAAATTCAGACAACTTAAGACTATTACGTCTTATTACTACTACTAGGTGTAAAACAAGCAATAGAAATAAGATGAAAGAAAGACGAGTGAAAAATGAATAATAATGACAATGCTTCATCTAAGAAATTCAGACAACTTAAGACTATTACGTCTTATTACTACTACTAGGTGTAAACAAGCAATAGAAATATGATGAAAGAAAGACGAGAAAAATGAATAATAATAACAATGCTTCATCTAAGAAATTCAGACAACTTAAGACTATTACGTCTTATTACTACTACTAGGTGTAAAACAAGCAATAGAAATAAGATGAAAGAAAGACGAGTGAAAAATGAATAATAACAACAATGCTTCATCTAAGAAATTCAGACAACTTAAGACTATTACGTCTTATTACTACTACTAGGTGTAAACAAGCAATAGAAATATGATGAAAGAAAGACGAGTGAAAAATGAATAATAATGACAATGCTTCATCAAAGAAATTCAGACAACTTAAGACTATTACGTCTTATTACTACTACTAGGTATAAACAAGCAATAGAAATAAGATGAAAGAAAGACGAGTGAAAAATGAATAATAATGACAATGCTTCATCAAAGAAATTCAGACAACTTAAGACTATTACGTCTTATTACTACTACTACTAGGTAAAATAAAGCAATAGAAATAAGATGAAAGAAAGACGAGTGAAAAATGAATAATAATGACAATGCTTCATCAAAGAAATTCAGACAACTTAAGACTATTACGTCTTATTACTACTACTAGGTATAAACAAGCAATAGAAATAAGATGAAAGAAAGACAAAAATGAATAATAATGACAATGCTTCATCAAAGAAATTCAGACAACTTAAGACTATTACGTCTTATTACTACTACTAGGTGTAAACAAGCAATAGAAATAAGATGAAAGAAAAGACGAGTCAAAAATGAATAATAATGACAATGCTTCATCAAAGAAATTCAGACAACTTAAGACTATTACGTCTTATTACTACTACTAGGTATAAAACAAGCAATAGAAATAAGATGAAAGAAAGACGAGTGAAAAATGAATAATAATGACAATGCTTCATCAAAGAAATTCAGACAACTTAAGACTATTACGTCTTATTACTACTACTAGTATAAACAACAATAGAAATAAGATGAAAGAAAGACGAGTGAAAAATGAATAATAATGACAAATCAAAGAAATGACAAAAGACTATTAAACTACTACTAGGTGAAAAACAAAATAGAAATAAGATGAAAGAAAAGACGAGTCAAAAATGAATAATAATGACAATGCTTCATCAAAGAAATTCAGACAACTTAAGACTATTACGTCTTATTACTACTACTAGGTGTAAACAAGCAATAGAAATAAGATGAAAGAAAGACGAGTGAAAAAATGAATAATAATGACAATGCTTCATCAAAGAAATTCAGACAACTTAAGACTATTACGTCTTATTACTACTACTAGGTGTAAACAAGCAATAGAAATAAGATGAAAGAAAGACGAGTGAAAAATGAATAATAATGACAATGCTTCATCAAAGAAATTCAGACAACTTAAGACTATTACGTCTTATTACTACTACTAGGTGTAAACAAGCAATAGAAATAAGATGAAAGAAAGACGAGTGAAAAATGAATAATAATGACAATGCTTCATCAAAGAAATTCAGACAACTTAAGACTATTACGTCTTATTACTACTACTAGGTGTAAACAAGCAATAGAAAATAAGATGAAAGAAAGACGAGTCAAAAATGAAAAAATGAATAATAATGACAATGCTTCATCTAAGAAATTCAGACAACTTAAGACTATTACGTCTTATTACTACTACTAGGTGTAAACAAGCAATAGAAATAAGATGAAAGAAAGACGAGTGAAAAATGAATAATAATGACAATGCTTCATCAAAGAAATTCAGACAACTTAAGACTATTACGTCTTATTACTACTACTAGGTGTAAACAAGCAATAGAAATAAGATGAAAGAAAGACGAGTGAAAAATGAATAATAAT